AAAAAAAAAAAAAAAAAAAAAAAAAAAAAAAAAAAAAAAAAAAAAAAAAAAAAAAAAAAAGAAGTAAGAAGTATAAGGGAGAATCCCAGAGGCTGGGAAGGCAAGGGGAAAGAGTGTAGGGAGACATTTGCTAAAGAATAAAAAATTACAACTATATAGGAAGAATAAGTTTTAGTGTTCTACACGACTGTAGGATGACTATAATATAGTTTCAAACAGCTAGGGGGAAGATATTGAGTATTCTCAACACAAAGAAATAATAAATGTTTTAAATGATAGATATGCTAATTACTCTGATCACAATACATTACCTATATTGAAACACCACTATGCACCCCAATGAATATGTACAATATTACTTAAATATTGTCAATTACAGAATAAAATTAAAACCTTTTAAAAGAATGAATATAATGATACCTATCTTATTAATACGCTGAATCACAAGACCCTGAATTAATTCAAAAAAACTCTTGGCTGATTTCCTTGCCAATCGATTTCCCTTCTCAAACCTGCAACTCCAACCAAGCTGACTGATCCTGAGAGCACTGTGTACATTCCTACCTTCATGTCTTTGCTCATATTGTCAGGTCATCTAGTCAGCTAACATGCCATTTTCCCAAACTCTCCAGCACACTATATCCTCGCCTTCTGTATTAGTCTGTTTGCGTTGCTATAACAGAATACCTGAAACTGGGTAATTTATCAAGAAAATAGGTTTATCTTGGCTCACAGTTCTGCAGGCTGTACAAGAAGTGTGATGCTAGCATCTGCTTCGAGTGAGAATCAGGGAACTCACAATCATGGCAGAAGGCAAAAGGGAAGCGGTGTATAACATGGCAAGAGAGGGGAGGGCCCAGACTCTTAAACAACCAGATCTTGTGTGAACTCATAGAGCAAGAACTCATTCATTACTGTGAAGATGGCACCAAGACATTTACAAGGCATCTGCCCCATGACCCAAACATCTCCCAACAGGCCCCATCTCCAACACTGGAGATTACATTTCAACACATTTGGTGGGGATGAACAGCCAAACCATATTACCTTCCTTCCAGATCCCGCTCAGATTTCCAGCTTACTGTTCCAAGTTACTATTTTGTAGTTTTCAGCTATGCTCCCAAATAAGACAACTCTGAACATAAGGCAATCTATTTTCCCAATGAGAAGATTCAAATAGTTTTTGAGGCCAACTTCAATAAACAAACTTTTAGGGAAGTAAATAAAATAGTCTAATGTCTACTTAGAATATTTTATTTATTAAATTTTATTTATTAATATATAATTTTAAATATATATAAATACTATACAAATATTTAAAATTATATATTATTACTAAAAATTATATATTATTACTACCATGGAAAAATCTCCAAGATATAATATTAAAAAGCAAGGTGGGGAAAACTGTTTAATTTGCTACCTTTTATCAAAGAAAGGGTGCTGGAACATAAGTGTTTGCTTACATTTTAAAACAAATAGGTCAGGCTCAGTGGCTCACGCCTATAATCCAAGCACTGTGGGAAGTCAAGGCAGGCGGATCACCTGAGGTCAGAAGTTCAAGATCAGCCTGGTCAACATGGTGAAACCCCTATCTCTACTAAAAATACAAAAATTAGCCAAGTATGGTGGTACAGGCCTATAATGCCAGCTACTTGGGAGGCTGAGGCAGGAGAATCACTTAAACCTGGGAGGCAGAGGTTGCAGTGAGCCGAGATTGCTCCACTGCACTCCAGCCTAGATGACAGAGCAAGACTCCATCTCAAAAAATAAATAAATAAATATAAAACAAATAAAAGAAAAATAAGTCACTAAAGATTTTTTTAAATAGTTACCTATAGAAGAGGGAGGGAATAAGATAGAAGACACAAAGATAAAAGCTAGACTTTTAAAAATATACCTTATTGTGTAAATAATGAACATAATGTAAAATTTAAAAATTTAAAGCAATTCCCCAAAATCAAAAACAAAATGAAAACAAAGGTCAAACTGATGGTATAAATTCCAAGAGAAATTATTCCAAGTAACATTAAAACTGACCGAACATCCTTAGTGGCATATACTCTAAGGACAAAGAAGAATTTTAAAAGATCTT